GTGTTAGTGGACAGTATGTGTGTTTGTAGGACACGCGCGTTTAGTTCGATTGACACTCTGGAAATGTCCATTGGTGGGTAGAAAAATTGAACGAGGAAACACAGGTTTAAAGCAGAGACTGCAAATGTTGGACAAAATGCCTATTCCTAATACAAAATATTTTATATTTCTGACATGTGATGGACTTTTTTCCATACCAATTAATACTATTGCTGTTGCATATAGGTTTGGTGGTTTTTAAATATTTTTGTTATGAAAAAGCAATATAAAACTGCTATCAAAAAAAATCATTAAACATGATCTAAAGACTGCATTTTTACTTTACGTAACTAGAGAAATAAGTGAACTAGATAAAATGCAACCTGTCTTCTTTTAGTTGTCATGAATAATTTTTATTTTTATCGACAGTAATCTCGACGTTCATATACTCACATTTTAACATTCAAGAAACCCACACATCTGTCTATTATAAATATTTCGAATTTAAATTTCCTAACTGTTGATTCAACATATAATGTATTGATTGAAAAAAATATGTCATGAATGATGCTGCATACGAACATATACACCTGATGACTCTAGTAAAATGTGTAATTCGTAACATCTACTTAAATAAACGTTTTAATGTTTTATACATGTAACAACAGAACCCACAACCACACCAGCTCTCTCCACCGACAAAACTCAATCGTTACCCTTGTCTAGTAGACAATTACATCATTGATCCTTTCGTTACTATTATTTATATTTTTATATTTACCTTATGTAATCAAAATGTTTTTTTAATGTGTAATTGTTCTGCTGTCTTTATGTATCGTCCCTTCCCTTGCGTTTGTTAAATCTTTCGAAACTATTTAGCCACTTGCCATATGAAATTATGTTTTATTCAAATATAGTGTATTAATGTTTTTGCATATTTTAATTGAAATGAAAGAAAGTGAATATAAATAAATAGATTAGCCGTTCATTAAGAATATTGTAATCAAAACTTACGAGATCTGCAGTCACACCAACATTGTGAGTAACTGTCACTTGTGTACGCCCAAGAAATGCACGTTGAATCACAAGTCTTGTCTAAAAAAAGTCGAGTAACAATGACGTATTTAAAATGTGTCTGAACTGTAGACTCGGGAATATCAGAAGCGTACGTATATGTAGGCCTACATTTAAGGTTTGCTGGCAAGAAAAATAATTAAATTGCATAATGATGATAATGGTAAGTGAAGATTAAAAAGATTGGATTTCTTCACGAATGTGAATAGTTGTGTAGATTTGAAGCAGGCTTCTTTTCCATAACCCGTTCCAACTGATTGTAAATCGACGGAAAATTACCGATAGATTCGTACTATGTAAATTTCAATAGAGTTTATGGACAAGAGGGCCATCGGTGGTGGATCAAAAAATACGAAAGACAGGAGGAAGGTTTACACAACTGCGGCGAATGTAGAATTTGGCGGTAAGGGGTGCGTGAGAGTCCACACATTTTAAGCCCCACCTGAGGCGAGAACCTTTTGAATGCCCTAAAGGTGTCCTGGAAATTGCACTCTCATACTTTAAAAATCTTAGCTGTACTATGTTCATAATGATAAAAATAATATTTCAACAATACAATACGACTATTATTTTTTTTTAAATTAAATTTTGAGGAGTGTGATCGCACCATCTGACACCCCCAACCCCGTGTATCTGCCCCAGACACAGTGGAAGGTGTGAATCACATCAGCCACACCTTAGTTGGTGCGGAGAGGCTTAAGGTCGGTAGACCTACTAACGCTCACAGACTTTTAAAACAAATTGGGGTGAGGGGGCTGGGTGGAAATCAGAAAAAATACCGGTAGGAAAAAAGGCAATAGTAGAAATAAACACCACAACAATGGAAGTACTTCAACAGTCCAAAAATGGAAATTGGTAAATAATTTGTGAGGAGTTTCTCGCTCTCCACTTTCGTTAATTTTAAAAAAATTCCCTTTCTTCTGAAGATGCAGGCTTAAATCAAAAAAAAAATACATCGAATAGGCCTACACAGATTAAGCAGAAAATTTGGCAATAACTCAAAAATAATATGCTACTTACCAACGCATAACTGTTCCAAAAAGGTCGGATAATATCCCGCTCCACTTTCTAAATAATTAAATAATTACGTTATTTACAATACAGTTTGGAAATAGTTTCGAGCAGTGATTTTTCATTAGTGCACTGTTTGCTCGACCTTTTTGCTGTTCGTGTTCAAAAGTTCAAACAAAACTGCATGTGTCGCTGCTCGCTAGTATATTATTGTGAAACATAAGGCTATTAACAGGCGCGGCGCTAGAAATTCCCCGACAAGGGGTTTAAGCTCCCCGACATGGGGTCTACCCCGTCGGAGAAGCCAAAGGGTTAGACAATAATAATACAATTTATGATTATTGCACCTCTAGATGGCCGGAAATGATACTCACAGACGTACAGTCTTAATATAATTTTCGTTTTGTCTCCATTTTGCAAAAATCAAACCAACTGATTTTGCAAATAATTTTTATTCCTTCATTCATTCATTTTGTGCTTTTATTATTTTTATTTTACTTTTTATTTTATAGGTATTGCAAACTGCAAGAATGAAATGAACTTTGCAAATAGCGTACTCTATTCATCACAAAAGACATGTACAGTGGAACAGGTGTAGAAAGAAAACATACAAAGAACAAAATTCCTAGACCTACCTTTTCAGGACCTGTGAGCTGAAATTGTTTTTGTTACAATGTGAAAATTGAAAGTCGGAAAAGCTCATATCCCGCCATCTAGAAATTAAAATTTTTATCTACGCCTCTCGTGTGACTGGAGGTCACAATTATTTACTTTATATTTTATATTAATTACCGAATGTAATCAATATGTCGTGTTAATGATTAATTGTTTCTGCTGTCTTTCCTTTGATGTATCGTCCACTCCCTTGCGTGTGTTAATTCTTTTGAAATTATTTGGCCACTTTTCATGTGGAATTATGTTATATTCAAATAGTGTATTTAATGGTTTTGCATATTTGAATTGAAATGAAAGAAAGTAAACAAATAAATAAACAACCATTCATTAACAGTATTGTAATCAAAAGTTAAACTTACGAGTTCGACAGTCACACCAACAGTGAGGAGAATCATACTTCCTTAAAATGCACGTTGAATCACAAGCAAACCAGTCTGAAAAAAAGACAACTACGGTAACAATCAATAACATATTTAAAATGTGTCTGAACTGTAGACTCGGGAATATCAGAAGGGTATACGTAGGCCTACTTCCCACCATGGTTGTGGCGAAGGGGCTTAGTGGCCAGTAGGCCTAGTAGTACACACAGACTTAAATTTGATTGTATCCGTCTTCTCCTTTTTAAACATTTTCAAACAAATTGAGGTGGAAAAGGGGGCATCTGGGAAGAAATCAGAAGAAATACCAGTAAGGAAAATCACTAGTAGAAATAAACACCACAACAATGGAAACAATCAATGGGAGAGATTGGTAAATAATTTGTAAGAAGTTTTCTCTCCACTTTCGTTTATTTTAAATGATTTCTTTTCTTCCCAAAATGCAGGCCTATAAAAAAACATCGAACAAACACTTTGACTGAAAATTTGGCAATAATTCAAAAATAATAAATGCAACTTACCGCCACATGTCTGTCCCGAAGATGTCGGATTAGAAACCTCTCCGCTTTCTAAATAATCAAATAATGTCGGTATATAAAATGCAGTTCAAAACAGTTTCGTGCAGTGATTTTCATTGCACTGTGTGCTCTACATTTATGCGGTTCGTGTGCGTGCAGAAGTTCAAACAAATCTGCATGTATCTCTGCTCGCTAGTAATATATAGTGAAACCTAAGATTATTACAAGGGAAAAATAATAGTTAGGGATTGTTGGTCCGTTTGTTTGTTTTTTTTTAATTTTTATGATTTGTCCGTTTGACTACACAGACCTAATAAAAAAACAATTGAAAACAAGATTGAGCAGAAGGTTCATTCATGATGTTTTTTACATAATGTTTTCTCGCTAAATAATTTTGTTTGTTTGTTTAATTTTTTCTCAGACGCTACTGCCCACCATACGGGTTATTAACGAGTAGTGCCAAAGTGCGAGCCAGCGAGCCATGCGAGCCAATGTGCGAGTCATGCGAGCCAGCGAACCATGCGAGCCATACATTTAATTTCTTTTTTTCAGGTTATCCAGTTTTGCAAACACGTAGGTCTAGCCTATATTCTTTGGCCTAGTAGATGCAAATGAATAACACACCGGGGAGCTTTGCCTGTGTAGTCCATTCATGCGCAGTACATATACTTTTGGACTTGGTTACTTTTTCGAATCGTCGATCCGAAAATATGCAGCGCTGATAGATGTACTGTATGTATTTATATTTATATATATATTATTTGATATATACTGTATTTATTTATATATTTATTTATATATTTATTTATATATTTTTATATTTATTTGTATATTTACATATATATATATATTTATTTGTATATTCATTTATATATATATGTATATATTTATTTATACATTTATTTTTATATACTTATTTGTATATATATATAT